ATCAGCACAACAAACTCTCATTTTATTCAGGGCCGGAATAGCAGAAGCCCAGATGACCAGCACTCCTCCACCCCAACATCTTTAGGAACTTCTGAATCATCGGCAATACTAAGAACAATACGTTGTTCAGATACTCTAGAGAAAGGATTTTCCTCTATAATTTGGTTGATTTTCTTCTGTTTTCACATAAAATAAACTCTTAAGTAAATGTTAGTGATGAGTATAATTACATGGTTGGTTAATAATGAATCTGTTATGGTAATTTCTAGTTTGAGGTGAATATTCATCCATGATCTCTTGGTAAATATGCAATCCAGGAAAGAATGTGTGACCTACTTAAATAAGTAAATGCATTACAATAATGAAGTGATTAAATAAATAGTGTTGAGAACTTATTTTTGAAACAAAGTAGAAGTCCCCATCTTTCCAAAAACTTTCCCTGTAAACAATTTTTAATATTCTTTCCAATCTTTTCTTTGCCTTCACTTTGTTACCCTTTTGGGGCATCTCTGTTTTCTATTAATTCCTAAGATCTGGACAGCAAATCAGCTATGTCTCTCATGAGTCTCTGATGTATTCTGACAAGTCTCTGGCAGCTGGGGAAACAGGGTCATGGTCAGTCAGAGCCGTCTGTCTGTCGTGGGTGTGGACTGGGGGGGGCACATGTGGCTGCACACATGCAGGACTGTCCCAACATGAGCGTGGCCTTAATGACTGTTTCTTCTGCCACAGCTGGTTCACTATTGGTGTCACCCAGGCACTAGCAGTTGTTTTCCATTCTTAGTCCATTAGTGACAGTAAAATTGGAACCACAAAACAAACAAAACTGGTAAGAAGGAAACGGAGGGATTATTTCAGCAGTCTCTCTGAAATTCCAGAAATTTAGACCATGACAGAGGGGCACACAGGGCATCAGGACTAGTAGTAAGGAAAACTCAGCTGAAACACATTTTATCTTCTAAACATTAAAAAAGACAACTTCGCCGCTCACCCTGGGACAACCAAGAATAGCACAAGCTTCAGACAGGCTCTGCAGCATGTTGTCCTCCTAACTGAAAGAGAAGCATCTGAGATACACATTTAAAAGGCAGATCCAACCCTAAAACTAACAATTCCAACTTCTGTCCAAGCCTCCTCTACCCCACCCTCCACCAAGGCAGCATTTGAATTGTTTTCAAGCTTCCTATGTGATTCTGATTCACAGCAGCACTTGAGAACTATTGAGAACTAAACGTGGTTCTCAGCCCTGACTGTGTGCTTCCACACTCTCAGTGACAGGAGCTCACAGCCTCCCACAACAACCTATCCGGGCTCTGGACAGCTTGACTCTCAGATGGTTATTCCTTGTGTGGGTTCAGAAATCTACCTTCTTGCAACTTCACCTGGTCAGGCTGGCTCGACTCCTGAGAGTGAACCGTGCCTCTTGCACTGCGCAGCGCACAGGGCTTCCTGCATTGCCTCTCCACCTACAAGTCCTTAAAACCAAAATCCTTTGGTGATCTGCTTCAGTTAGGACACTTGCTACAGAAAACAAATGAATCTTGAGGAGCTTTCACACTGAAGCACCCGTTAGTCAGGAAAGCTGAAAATGTCAGATTTAAATTTTAATGTCAGTTTAAGAGGTTAGGGGTTTATATGTATCGAAGCGGCACACACACACAAAAAAACCTTTCTTTTTTTATCCCAGTAATGCCATGCAAAAACGAGAATCCAAAAGGAGAAAAAAAAGACATAATGCATAAAGATGTTTATTACATTATTATTTATAAAAGTGAAAAATCAAAAGAAATCTAAATTTAAAAAAAAAGATAGTGGGATTTTTCAATCATAATGTATTCCAGAGACAGCTTGATACTGAAAAGCTCCCTGGAGTCAGATAATCTGAGCTGGGTTTGAAAGTCAGTTCAGCCTTGACCGGTGACGTTGGAAGAGGTGCCTGTCACCTCATATCTTTATTTGTACAGTAAAGATAACAAAACCTCGTTAGCAAGATCTGAAGTTTAGAAATGATGTGTGTAAAGTACCTGGCATACAGTAGGTTCAGTAGACAGTAGACAATATTTAGGATTATTTTCTTATGGTACATCCACCCCCTAGAAAACCCTGGAACTAGTTATTTAGCTATTGATTATGAAGTCTGTTTTGCAACTTGGGAAACTATTTTAATTACATGTTAGGTAAAAATGGGCTGAATCATATATACACATTTAATATAATTTCATTAAAATATACAAGGAAAAGGAAAGTGATCAAATGTGGTGTGATAAGGGTGAGATTATGAATGATGTATTTTTCTATATGTAAAAGCATACATCTTTCAAAGGGAAAAAGTCCATCAGTGTTTCTTAATAAAAATGAGAAAAATGCATGATAGAAATGTAATTAGTTAAAAATGTCCTAAAGAATTAGCCACTTTATGTTTGCTTAAACTATCATTTTATATTTATTTAAAGGAAAGTCTTATCTTGTGGGAGAGTTTCATGTCACCATTTTGAAACTCAGACATGCAGGTGGCAACCAGAGATAGCAGCACACTACCACCCCCTGGTGGCAACACTGCTGAGGTGTAAGATCACCAACTTGGAAGTAAAATAGGAATTTATACACATGCTCTAGAAGCAAAGGCCTAAGTATTCAAAGTTCTGAAAAAGTCAGCTTCAGCTTCTGGGCCACACAGCTAACCTATATGAAATTCCATGTGGCACATAATTATTACACTAAACTTAGTTTACATTATTGCAAAAAAAATTCATAAAAATAAACCTGGTGTGCATGCAACTTTAGTGCCATGTTTAGTGGGATGGGATCTGCTTATTTGATGGAACCAGTAGAGGCTGTTGCAGTAATCCAGACATGTACGAGTTTATTGCAAATAATATAAAGCAAAAGCCCAGAGCCTGCCTGTAAGAAGCCTGAGTCTAGGAGGGAGGTCATGTGATGAGAGAACTGCCCTGATGGGGGTGTGTGCAGGGTTACGGGAGGACCTGGGAGGGCGCCCCTCCCTCCAGGAGCCTGTGGGAGTCGGTGAAGCCACCATAAAGAACAGCCCTCAGGCTGCTAAACTAGCAGGGGAAGTTCATTCTGAGGAGAGAAAATGCAAAGTTTTTACTGCAGAAATAGCTTACTTTTTTGTTCCTTGTCAAACTTGACTTCTTTTTCTTGCAGCTTAATGGAAGAAAAAAGCCTCATAATAAAGGAATTTGAGAAGATACCTAAGCCAGGAGTAAGTCTGAGATGATCTAGACTTTGTTAAATACAGCTGGATTCAAATATTCCTTTTGATGAATATTAATGTCTATCACAACAATCACACCTTGAAACTTTGGAAAGAGCCAGAATGTCTTAAGTATGGATGATGGTGCTGACAGGAAGATCTGCATAACTTCTGCAGTAAACCAAAGTGGAGCCTATTACAGGATTTAGCATTTGGCATCTAATTTATGTTGTGTTTGGTTGGACAATATCTGCTTTGTTTTCAGGAGAAAAGAGGATTCTGTGGTTGGCACTTAAAAACATTATTTTTGTTCTAGCCATTACTCTCATAGCTTCCCGAACGTCTCAAGCTTGTTACAAGAAATCTTTATAAAAATGGATCACTTATTGATTCCTGCAGAACAAACTAGACCAAAACATAATGGCTTAAAACAACAGCCATTTCTTTACTTTCCACAGTTTTGAAATCATAGGTCTGAGCTGGCTCAGCTGGGGCTGGATGGCCCACGATGGCTTTATTCATATGACAGCCAGTTGGTAGGCTAGTTGGTCTAAAGTCACATGTCACTAGTTAGTCTAATGATGGTAGAAGGGTTTCCAGCCTCAAGAAAGAGACGAACAGTTTCAAGAGATGGCAATCCTCAGCACAAGCACTTTTCCAGCCTCTGCTTAAACCACTGCTGGTAACATCTCACTGGTCAAAGCAAGTCACATGGCCACAGCCAGAATCAAGGGGGAAAGATACAGGCCCTACCTCTTAATGGGAAGAATGACAAAGACACGCTGCAAAGAGGCATGCATACAGAAAGAGGAGGAATTTATGTCCCTTTTTTTGCAATTTATCATAGACAGTAAACAGAAGGATCATCACACTTTGCGTTGCTTTCGCCTCTTGAATGGTTATATTTCAAAAGTATGTTGGGGGTGGCTTAATTTCAAGGCACCAAAACCTTAGTACAGAGTAAGATACTATTACATATATGAATATGAATATATATAATATATGCCTATTACATACCACCATGTGAGTATTCCTCACCGTCGTTCACAACCTGACAAATGTTACATCGTCTACAGATTCTGTGGGGAAAGCTTATTAGTTCCAGATCACAGGATCACCAGTTTTAAGCCTCTTGCAGCAGCAGTGGAGGAGAGTAGTACGCGGAAGGACCCGAGCAGGCTAAGTGGATCCCTCACTTAGTTGCTAGTCGTGTGTAGACTTTCTGAGTGTAAGAAGGCTTCTCTGTCGTAAATCAAACACTTCCCAGATACTGAGTCACGAGAAACAAAGACCTGCTAGGAATCTGGGGTGGAGGACATCTGGGGAGAGTACATAAGTTAGAGGTGTAGTATTAATAAGAAAGGGGGAATTAAGGAGTGCCAAGAATTAGATATTCCAAATATGAAAGAACTCCCTAATTTTTAATTCCCATGTGTGACTCAGGTTAACCATAAACTGGATAGATTATTTGCATCTGATTTTGTCAAATCACAAAGCTCCTACAAAAAAGCCTGGAAATTTTTACTAATGCTTTTTGGTACGAGATCAATATTAACACAGAGAAGGGAAACACTTAAAATGTAGGAGATAGAAAAGAGCATTAGTTTAAAAATCAGAGTTGAAATCTAATGTAAAATGTTTAACACATGCAGTATCGTTGTTATGCCTTTATTGAAGAGGTCAGAAATCCTAAGTTGCATTTAACTTTGAAAGAAATCGTTCATGAGGTTCAAAACAAATATAATCAAAATGCTGAGTAAAATTACTTTTAATGTGATTTTTAGGCAGATAGATGTTTGCTCAGATGCTGGGTAACCGGATAATTTTCATTACTTTTAAAAGGAAATGGAGAAGAAGATGAGAATATTGAGGGAAAGCACTGAAGAATTACGTAAGGAAACAATGCAGAAGAAATTAGAAATTAAAAATTTACGGGAAGATTTGACATCAAAACAAAAGCAATTACTAAAGGAGAAGAAGGAACTGGAAGAACTACTGGAGTATCAGGTCACCTTAAAGGTGTGCTTCCATTTCATAAATATTTAAACACTGTGCCTGCGTGAACATAAAAATGCACGAGTATCCGGACTGACTGCATAGGTTTGACAAAGTCCAAACCATACAAACTGAAATGTTCTGCGTTGCGATTGGCCCTATCAGACTAAACCTGGGCTCTGGGAACTCACGAAAGACTTTTGAGTGTTTGGTGGCATCAGTCTAAGTCGAAGCCCTGATCCAGGGAAAAGGTCTCTCTCAAACTTGCCAAGCATTTTTCCTTATTAGAAATGAGTGTTACAAACACAATCACTGCCAATGGGGAGAGGCAGGTAGCAGGGGGTGGGATGATGGGCTGTTAGAGCCCCACTTCACTAGTCATTGGTCACAGCCTGCTCCCCTCCTTCTCCCACCACCCAGTCCCCAACAAGACCCCTCCACCCAGCCAGTGGCGATCCTGTGAGAACAAGCATGAGCTGTTGGCAGCCTCTGCAGCCTCTGAGGGATGGGCGCCTCCATAGGGGAAGTCTGGGCAGAGCACCCAGAGCATCTGCTATACTCAGCTCCTCTTTCAAATGGTAGCAACCATAACTATCTTGTTAAGTTCATTATGAGTATTAAATGGAATAATTAAAGCATGCTGCATAGTACAGGACAGATAGTAAGAATTCTACACCTTGTAATTCTTTTCTCTCTCCCATTTAATTTGCTTAACTGCTTTTGGTCCAAGATTACATAATTTAACATGGTTCCATTTCTCTACTAGGATGAAGTGGTCCACCATCAAGCCATTCCTGTACAAATTGGAAAAGAGATAGAAAAAACAACACGCAAAAAAGTGTATGGCTTAATATTTTTTTAGCCCTGCCAGCCCACTCTCCCCCAAGTTATGTGTGTATGCTAAAACAAGAATATTAACCACTGAACACATCAAATTACCATTGTAATTTTAGAAACATCTGAATTTAGCCCTGTCTAGGTTGTGTGTATCAAGTTCTTTAAAAGAATATAGTGTAGCATATTACTATTACTCATCACACTTATTTGTGTCTTAATTTGGGGACAATATTCTCATTTTATATTTTATAAATACATGTTAATTTATATATAAATAATTTATAGATATAATTTATAAAATATATCTTTATGGAGAATGCCAGTAGACTTTAACAGAGCTGATACACAGCTCTGTATGACCCCCACACAGGGGTCAATTATTTGAACCATGTAGAATTTCATGGTCTAGACATACGTCACCCAGTCAGATGCCTAAAACTCCCATGACGGTTAACTCTTCACTTGACACCTAGTCACATGTGTAAGACCCCCAACACTCAGAGTAGATTTGGAGGCAGAAGTGACTGAGGAAATTCTCAAGGTTTAGAGGAACCAAAAAAGATAAAGATACGTGAAGATGAAAATCTGGAAAAATACTATGTTTGCTCTGATGATTGATCTTAAAAGAAGAGGGGAAAAAGAAGCAGGCACTTGTAACGGTTGTAAAAGCCAAGTCCACTAGCACCAAACTGGAGAAATGTAGGTCACTTCAGGGAGGCTGGTCAGGATGAGGGTCGAATCCCAGGAGATGGTAGCAGTGGGCATCTGGGGAGAAAGGGGGAGGTTGGACAAATCCCTGCCCTTGGTGACACTCAGTCGAGATACCCTCTAAGTCCCACTCACCTGTGGTCTTCACCCCACTTCTGAGATCAATGAATTTGATGACTAGCTCTTCTGTTGCCTTGTCATGAAGTAAAAATTGGTAAAGACAGCCTGGGCTCAAAACTAGGTAAATGTGTGTGTGGATGTCATGTGCATGCAAATTATGTATCCCCCACAGAGAAACGGAAAAGAAAAAACTTATCTTGGAATGTGAACTCAAAGAGCTAAATGACTCGCTAAAGAAAGTTGAAACCAAAATTAATGCTATAATGGAAGAGAAGGAAGATGTAGTAAAAGAAGTTGAAGGCAAACGAGCCTTACTTGAAATCAAAGAACGAGAATTTAACCAACTGGTCAAACTATTGGAATTAACCAGAGAGAATGAAGCAACTTCGCTGACTGAAAGGTTGGTTATATTTCTGTGTTTCTGTCATCTACATTTTTCTTTGATTTATATCTGAGGATTCAAAACATAACCTCAAACAGATTTATGGTGATTCAGTAAACATTTTTATAGAATTTTACATCGACTTTTACCACTAAGTACCATTAATTTACCATTACCATTGATAAATAATAGATATATTATTAAATAAAGTATTTTTCCCATCCTTTCTTCTTCATTGTCCTCTATTTCCTGTGACCAAATCTTAAGGACACAATTTGTTGTATTCTTATAAGTTTCTGAAATGTGTCTCTGGAAAATTCTATCATTGGAGTGAGCTATAAATGAGAGGATTTTTTTTTTCCTACAAATGATGGTATGTCTGAGGTAAACATGATTTTTTTCCTAATGGGAGCAATTTTGTGGTATGAGTCCCTGGGAGAGTGTTAATTTCCATTTTAAAATAAGATTTCAGGGAAACTAGGACTCTCTGCCAATTTACTCTTCCACTTGGGTTTTTTTTTTTTTTTAATGACTGACTCTGACAACTTGCAAACAAAATTGCTTTTGGAATTACTTAAAATTTGATTCTAACGAGAATAGTTCTGTGTGTATCTACTGAGCATGTTGTCTTGAAAAGCATAAAGGGCGGGTGACGACAAATCACTTTCATATTCTCTTTTTACCTGGAACAGAGGGATCTTGGATCTCAATTTACGTAACTGTCTCATTGACAAGCAGAACTACCATGACGAACTTTCTCGTAAGCAAAGAGAGAAAGAACGAGATCTTCGAAATTTAAAAAAGATGGAGCTACTCTTGAAAGTGTCCTGGGACGCACTCACCCAAACTCAAGCCCTGCACCAAAGGCTCCTGTTAGAGGTGGGTGCTGAACGCCACTATCTGATTTGTAAGCTCAGTGCCGTCATTCTGAAGTAAAAATATTTCAAGAAGTTGTTTTTGCCATCAACTGAGAAAGAGGGGAAGAAAAATAACAGGGAAGAAAAATAACAAGAGAAGAGGTAACTTTAAAATGCATCAAACCTGTTATAGAGGCTCCGTCTTACAATATGTCTCCATCTTTTTGCTAGCCCAAGATTAGAGAAACATCTTGTTTGGATCAGGCATCAGCCTGGCCAAGGGAAACCGTTTAGGCCAACCAGTTCTGGAAGAGCTAAAAGGTTCACTAAGGGTAGGACCAAATGGACCACTGTCTTAACCATTCGAAAGTGTCAGATCCAAAATCCTGTCATTGTAGACTCCAGCAGTCAGAGACAAGGTCAGATCATGTAAATATACACAGTCAGCCTGTACCTCCAACTAGCCAAGAGCCATCAGAACCTGGTGTCACGCTACCTGACTAATTCTGTGCAGTATCAGAGGTGTACTACAGTCAGAAAACGCTCAAGATAGCTGTTACCTTCCTACCACCTCTGTGCTCCCAAATGGAAGGGTTTTGGTCCTGTTGCCTCTGACTCTCTCCTCTCTCAGGTGGCACTGCCTGTGCTAGTGGACCAAGCACTGCTCAAAGTCAGTGGGCCCTTGAGAGGGCTGCATCCTCATGCCCATGCCTTGGCCAGCACTTCCTTTGGTGAAAAAGGGATCAACCTCTGAGATGAAGCAGCTTGGGGTGCGGAAACCATACCTGTTCTCTCCAGGACTGTCATGCTCCATGACCTTATGGAGGTTCATGACCTTAGAATTTAAACAGGGGTTGCCAGATGTGGTAGACACCTCTCATCCTAATAGGCCGAATTCTCCTCTCTTTCTGAGCATCTGGAAGGCTTATATTCCTTGCATCCTTTGTCACTGGGCAGGGTCATATGTCTAGTTCTGGCCAGTGGATTGTGGGCAGAAGCGACACATGTCCCTTCCAGCCTAGAGCATCTAATTACCAGCTTGAGACCCTCTAGCTCTTTTCCCCATCCTGGGCCCACTGTGGAAGGACATGATGACATGGAAGTGCTGTAAAATGGGAGCAGCCAGGAAAGCTGAGCCAACAGGGGTCCTGGAGAATCACCTTGACTGACCACAGGCTTTGCCAAAGCAAGAAATAAGCTTTCATGCTGTTGGGTCATGACAGTTGGGGTTGTTTCTGACACATAACCTAACCTACCCTGACTGGAAGACCAGTCTTTAGCAAGATGTGCAAATAATTGGTTGGGGTTGGGAGTGTATAAATGAGTAGGTCCTGGTCTTCCATCAGATGTTACTTCACGGACTTTCCCCCACCTCATCACAGTGTGGTGAAGTATACTTTTTACATGTTTGCAAAACAAAGAGGTACTTATTATTATCAAGTAAAAGAATGGTATGTATGTTTCTCATCTACGTCTAACAGTTTTACTAATATTGCTGCAAGTAGATTGATTCTTTTATTACTATGAAATATCTTTAACTCCAGAAATGCTTTTTCCCATAAAAATTCACCTTACCTGATATTAGTAAAATATCAGTTACACTAGTTGTGTTGTTGTTGTTAGATTTTGCATGGTGTTTCCTTTTCCATCCATTTACTTTCATTCTTTCTGTGTCCTTAATCTAGGTGTGTCTTTCATATGCAGCACATACTTTTTAACATCTGGTCTGAAAATTTCTGCCTTTGAATTCTCATGTTTAGTCCAGAAACGTTTAATGTAACTATGGATACACTTGGGCTTATGTCCCTGGTATTACTCTTGCTTTTCCTTTGTCCCATCTATTTTGTGTCCCACTGTCTCTATCTTTTCTTCTTTCAGATTAATCAAAAAGATGAACTGTTCTATTTGTATTTTCTACTGTCCTATTTTCCCCATTTTTGATATGTGTTAGTTTTGCATTCTCCTTCCATTCTCTGAGTTGTTACCCTAAAGATTACACCATTCATCCTTGACTTATCAGAGTCCAGTATAAATGAATACTTTCACTACTTCATAATAAATGAAGGTAGTCAGAGAAAGACCAATATCATATGATACCATTTATATGTGGAATCTGAAAAATGATACAGATGAACTTATTTACAAAATAGAAGCAGACTCACAGACATAGAAAACGAACTTATGGTTACCAAATGGGAAAGGTGGGGAGGGATGAATTAGGAGTATAGGATTAACAGAGACACACCATTATATATAAAAGAAACAAAAAGGATTTACTGGATAGCACAGGGAACTATATTTGATATCTTATAATAACCTATAATGGGAAAGAATCTGAAGTTCCACTCTTGAAACTAATGCAATATTTTAAGTCAACTATAGTTAAATTTAAAGACAAGAAATTAGACAATGAATATACAACCTTTATTACCTTCCCCGGCAAAAAGCAAATGGACAGTACACATTAATTCTTAGTAATAACAGTGCTAACTACTTGTGACACACAGCTACTGGGAATGTGGAAACAAATCAGCCTCTTTGAGAAGCTACAATTAGAAACAAGGAGCCCTCTTGGACCCTGTTTTCTGCCTTCACTTGAAAGCTTGCCTCAGTAGCTCTCACTGCTGAGAAAGTTCCAAG